CTAAAAAAAAAAAAAAAAAAGAGATAAAATTCACAATTCAACAGGTCTGAAACAGGCAGGGTCATACTGGCAGCATATGCGAAAGAAACGTCAAATATATTTTCCTATATCTTCACTCATCAAATTCCTATTTTCAATAACATTGATTTAAAAAAAAAATTAAATAATAAAAAGAAAAAAAAATCCTGCAATGGCTCTGGAAACAGGAACTAATATGCAATATCTGAGGCATAATATGATGAGAGTGTTTCTTCTTTTGTCTGGATAAATATACAAGCATTATAGATTCATTTACCTGAGTAAGATATCATAAACTATATAAAGCTGTTAAAAGACTAAAGCACATACATTAGACGAAGGATTACAAACATGTTACTTCACTGATGGTGTAGGTAGTGCAGATTAGAGAAAGGCGTGTAGGGCGGACATGAAAGTGGCTACAAAATTCATACCTTCAAGAACCGTTCCATCACTCCTCCAGAATCTGATGCAGGACCTTCAGTAGGTTCTTCAGGCCATAGATGTAACCCTGGTCAGGAACGTCACTAGGGAAGACATGTGCAAAGTCAATCATCTTTACCTCCACGTCACTGACCGTTTCCTGTCCCGCTTCGCTCTTGCTCTCCTTCCTGTCCTCTTCCAGTCTTGCCAAGCCGCGGTTGCCTTTGGGCTGCTGTGAGGAGCTCCAAACGCCGTTGTCCTGTTTGGCTTGGTAGTGGCTCCGGGCCCAGCTTTTCTTGTGCAGGGAGTATATCGTAGAGAGGCTCTGATTGATGTTGTTGTTCTGCTCACAGGCCTCGGGTGCGATCTGGCTATCCCGAAGGCTCTGGGAGACAAGACTGGGCGCACAGATGCCCTCGTAGACGAAGAGCAGAGAGCTTGCATAAAAGTTGAACCGACTCTGGCCCTCAAACCACTGAAGGATCTTCTGGACTTTGAGAATGCTGGCAGTGATGGCGTCTTTGCGAAGAATGTCGCCGTTGTAGAAGAACTTGGATAAACCTGCAGTACAATGAGGATGTTGTTCATAACTGAATTAAGATCAGTCAGGAAACAAGCACAGAAGATGTCGAATGATTTATACTGTGACAGTCAATCTGAAACTATTTCAATCTTATATGCAGGCCATGTATCTGGCCCAGTTGACATACCAATGAAAATATACCTTTACACAAATTTGCAATGGACAAAATGTAAATCGGTTCTTTCAACCAATTAAAAAAAAAAAAAAAAAA